ACCGTAACCTGTAGCTAACAACTAACCAACTGTAATCAACTCAACGAGTCGCTCATTGATTTTCACTAATCTCTACCAAAACGCATACAATAATTGGAGAGTTGAGAATCAATAAAATTGCATTTCCTAATAGATAGGAGATAAACTTCAAAATCATAAACATCGCACACGAAAAGTAATGAACTGACTAGACAATCGTCGCTTACTGTAAACAAATTTTTGGGTTCATGTAAGGAACAATTCTTGTAACGTTTCTCAACAACTGCCACATACAAACTTATGATTAAGGACCTTTTAAGCACTGATAAGCGTTCGTTCAGAATGTAAGAGAGAAAAAAAAAAGAAAATGAGAATCTCCCATCTACAGCTGTTACTGATTTATACTATTGATAAAGCGATTGAAGAAATTTTTCTTTCATGATTTTTCTAGTTGAATAATTTTACATTTTTTCCTTGCCCTTATTCCTCTTTCGCTAAATCAATAGTTTAAAAAAAACTGTAACATTACAACAAGAATATCCTATTTCGTAGTTTTTTGCAAGCTTCAAGTATTTTTTCTAAAAAATTCTCTCGCATTTTTCGCTCTAAGAGTACTCTCGCGAAGGATATTGGGGCAAGCAGACGTAGTCACTGGTGGAGAAAATTGCCTGCTAGACATTTCTGATTGGGCTCTCAATCAAAAGAACAGATTTTACCATAGCAATTTGCCACCTACTTTTTTCCCAGGGAAATATTCATCATTTAGGATGTTCTCATAAGGCAGAAAACGCTCACTAGCTCATGCTTTTCCTATATATCTACAGAAAATTCATCTTTTATTTCTGCTCATTGGTCTCTTTTTATCTGCAAGGTAAGAGATGGAACGGCCATGTAAAGTGTTCTTTACCATAGGCCCAACTGTCAATAATGTGCCTTTATAGAAGCTCTATGAAGCACTACCTTGTCACAAAATGGGTATATGCTGTCCCATTCCTTCCTTCTGCTAATATTGCTTTTACACAAAATTGTACAATTTTTTCCAATTTCCATTTCTACTTATTTTTCTGACCCAAAAAGAAGATATTCACGAATAATAGACTACCTTGCGCCATGGTACATTGCAGTACGCCATGTGCACTAATTCGCAAGTAGAGTAGAGGAAGCATTAAGAGCTTACTGCTTTTCTGTGACATGTAGTCCTTTGCTGATATCTTGATTTGATGTCTTGCCACCATAAGTTTGCTACATGACCTTCTGAGAGAAATTTGGATCCATAATCGATTTCTTCTTGAAATTCAGGGACTTCTAAGCGGCTTGTCTTGCTTAATTAGGCAACAATTACCTCTATAGACTGTTCTTTTAATTTTTGAAAAAAAAACATCGCCTTTTTTATCCTATTCTTTGACACATTTTCAAATTTACCTATCAATCGATTATCGATTTTATGAAAACATTTCAGTGTATGCGTTGCACATTATGATAGCAGATGTTGTCCTTATGTATACCTTTTTTATTAGCATATGTTGAGGCAGGTCAGTATCTAACCAATTTTTACGCAACATATCAATACCCTGCACTGATTGATTTTCAGGCATGTACCGGCAGAATCGCTGTTACAGCTGTATGTCACCAATGTATGAAGAATTCTTTAAAAATGGATTGGATCGGTAGGATTTCTAGGAAAATAAATTGGAATTAGACATTAAACACAAAACCTGTGTTTTGTAGATATTTTACTCCTCCAAAGAACTTTTCTTACCAATGCGATGAACCGATGAATCCCGAGTCTATGCATTTGGTATCATGTCGTACCATATGTCTCACGGTACAACAGGACCTCTATATTATGGGTAACTTTGTGAATTAACCGTGCTAATCTGAGATAACAACTTTTTCACG